TCACAACCGAATTAAACTTTCAAAGTCAACACAAATAAAACAAACATACCATCAAAGTCTCTTTCAAATTAATTCACACAACATGATATCATCCACAAGAACAACAACGACCTATATCATACTCACTTAAACACTCTCAAGAATAATTCATAAAACAAAGTCATGTCATTAATCAATTCAAATTCAAAACATGATACATCAAGTTCAAAACAAACTTTAATCAAACAAACCAAAATCCAGGGAGCAATTACCTAAACCTATTGATGCTCAATAAAATTCATCTCTAAAATGATCAAACACTAATGGGAATACATAACGACACCATAACTGAATTGATCTTTCAAATGTGAACTCGAATGAACTAAAATGTCAACCAAAATCTCTTTTAAATTAACTCAATCAATAAGACACAATATTTATTCATTCAAAGTGATGCCATCACAAATTCATCATTAAAAATCGACCCGAATAACAAACATTGAAATCAAAAACTTCACTCATATTTGACACAATTAAGCATGGTATTGTTTTCATAACTTCATAATAAGAAATTAACACAAATCACCTAAACATACGCAGTCATCCTTACTCAGACCAAACTTAGAATTAGCAACATTCCTACTAAAAAATATCAAACACAGACAGCATAACAAATTGTTTTTTTCTCCAGAATTTTATCACAGTATTTTCCACAACATGACAGTTCTACCCACAACATAAACAAAGTGACATCGAAATTTACCGAACAGTGGCGGAGTTGTCGCGAACGAGTGTTGGATTTGAAGCTGGACAGAAGTGAACGAATAGGTGCTGATGAAGCGTTTGAGTGGAGGAGCTTGACGGGGAGAGAATGATGGATGGAGGAGAATGCGAGCAGCGTTGATGAAGCTCGTCGTTAGATGATGGATCGATGGAGGGAATTGCTTCTGAAAAATGAAGGGTTATGATGGGTAAGTGTGTTGTTACAGTAGGATGGAAGGCGAAGGTAGAAGGTGAGTGTGGAAGGTGGAAAGATGGAAGACATGGGGAGTAATCGTTCGCGAGCGGAGGTAACTGGCGAGGGGTTTGTTGATGGTAGGCGGATGAAGTCTGATTTTCGTGAGGAAGAGAAGTGAGGTAAGTGGCTTATGAATTGAAGGTTGTAGTAGCTAGTGGAAAATGGTATGGAAGGAGAAGGAATTTTGTGTTTCGTTTCAATTTCAATCTCATTCTCATGCCTTCCCCCAATTGCAATCTCTATTCACACTTAAATACACAAAAACTAAGGTTTAGTTAATTTTTTAAACGACTAAAAAGCTTATTTGGATAAGATTAAGTTAAAAACTTAAAAAACAAAAATTATTTCTCTCTTAGCATGTTACTCTCCATTATTTCTCTCTTAGCATGTTACTTCTGTGCACAACTTCTTAATAACTTCTATGACAGTAGAAACCATGCTTGCTCAAAATCATTAACCAAACAAAAGCACACGAAAACCAGACAAACACATACGAGATGAGGAAAAAAATGAAACCTGATACGAATTGCAGTTGGTCGGAGAAGTGGAGCACCGTTGACCGCCGTAGAAGCTCTGGTTTAGGGTTTTTTCGTGAGGAAAATCTGACTGAGAATAGAAAAGTGATACAAATTGTGTTTTGATATTTATTATAAAACTACCTACGAAAGCGCTTTTAAAAGCGCTTTCTAACGGTCATCTATAACAGCGCTTTTACATCAAAAAGCGCTTTCGTAGCATATCCTATAGCAGCGCTTTCTAAAGGCCAACTTTAGCAGCGCTTTGGAAAAGCGCTTTCTAAGGTTGACCTTTAGCAGCGCTTTTGAAAAGCGCTTTCTTAAGGTACCCTCTGAAAGGCCAACTTTAGCAGCGCTTCCCAAAAAGCGCTTTCTAAGGGTGACCTTTAGAAGCGCTTTTGAAAAGCGCTTTCTTAAGGCACCCTTTGAAAGCGCTTTTTTAAGCGAATTTTTTTTAAAACCTACAGCAGCGCTTTTTTCCAAAAGCGCTTTCTTTTATGTGCTGCTAAAACTTATTTTTGGCGTAGTGAGAAGATACAAAAAAAAAACATATTTAATTCTATCATTTAATATTAATAAATTATAAATTTAAATTAAAAACAATTATTTAATATAATTGATTAAAATTATTTAATATAACTCATTAAAATTATTTTAGTAATTTATTACTTTTATTAAATCATAGACTTTAATAAAAATAATTTTTTATTTCTCTCATATTTAAATATGCATATATTGTTTTATTTGAATGAATGTTATAATTAATAATATTAATTATTCATATATTGTTTTAATTGTATAATATTAATTATGAATCAATTTCCGTTTTTCAATCTGTTTTCTTTTTTCTCAGAGCGATTGAACTTCATATTTTTCTCGTAAATCTATGTTTCAATTTCATTACTCAAATATGTAGATCTCACAAATGATGACAACGACAACAATTAGAGAAAGTGATTTTAGAACGTAAAATTAGCGTGTTTGAGGAAACCGCTTGGGAAAAACAGCGACAATCGCGTGTTTGGAGAAATCGATGAAAATTAGCGTGTATAGGAAAATCATTTGAGAAAATCAGTGACAATTGCGTGTTAGGGGAAATCTGCACAACTGCAATTCGTGAATTTGGTGCAGGTTGTGGCGATGAACAGGACGTGGTGGCATGAGGATGTTTCAAATTGCAATTTGGGTAACGAAGCAGATTTCAAATCAGAAATTGAATCTGATGTCGTTTCAGCTTGCATATAATTTTTTATTCCATCTGATAACATTGATGTTTCAAATTTCAATTTTTGTGAAGCAGATTTAAGTAATAAAGCAGTTTTTTATGGTAACATTGATTTTGTTTTTTTGGTATAACAGTATTATGAATTTTTTATGCTAACATTGATTTAGTATTTCTGATACAATAATATTAAGATTTTGTATGGTAACGTTGATTTGGTTTTTCTGGTATAACAATATTATGCAGAAAGTGTCTTATGCACAGATTAAAGTTGGAGGCAAAAAGTATTTTCCCGTACAACTAATGGAAGATAGCTCTAGTTCTTTCTTGGACAACTACTTTGGAACTCTTATGGTGTGCCTAAAGGAAGATGTGTTGCAGTTCTCACATATTGTGTTTTAAATTTCTATGGTCTATTTGTAAAAGAGAGAGTTATTTAGTCTCATTATATTGTTTGTACATCAAATGTAAAATTATAGTTCTATTTGTAACAACTGATATCAATTTTAAATTGTAATTTTGCTTGTAAAAACTCATATCAATGTAAAATTATAGTTCTGCTTGTAACAAATGATATCAATGAAATGAAGGATGACTATTTTTACATATTATACTTATATCAGTGCAATATTTTTCTGCTTTCACTCATTAACAGGTCAATAAAATGATAGCTAATATTTTTACACTTATAACTATAACATAACAAAGCTAATTACTTTTACACTTAATACTTATATCAGTGAATGCAATTGAGGGAAACGAAAAGCAAGATCCATCGTCTATCCAACACAAAAAATGGAAATTAATCAAATGCTAAACAAATTTATGAAAATAGCTAAAAGACATGGATTTTCCAGTGTATAATCATTGTATTATTTTACCATAATGAGAAATGATATGTTTGATGCATGCAAAGACACACACTAACAAACATAGTACACTCATTATGAAGTAACCTGAATCACTTTTAATGTTCTACAAAATGAAAGCATTAGTGGAAACTACAAAAACTCTATAACCTTTCTCCGCACTTGAAACAATATCTTCATTATACTTCACAGTTCAATAAGCAACTTTTGGAAAAATAGCGAAAAGCGGAAGCTGATTCAACTTGAAATATGGGATACAAAAGTATTTGATAAAAAAATTATCGAACTAATTTAAACATTATTCAAATGGCATGTTAACTCTTGCCGTAAAAAAAGTCGATTTCAACATATTTATTGATTCTATTTTCTAGCATGAGTTATGTTCGACATATAACATTTTGAAAAGAAAACAACTTTATCGAGAAATTAAAAACTCAATAACATGTAATGACTTTGAAATGTATCGAAACTGAAGCAATTCATAATCCTATTCATTTTTCATCCAGCAAATTACAAAAATGACAAAAGCAATGGAATGCCACATGATATGACCATAATATATCATTAAATTACAGAATTTAAAACAAAACAAAAATGCAGTGTACCTCTTTTTGAGAATGATGAGATACAACAGGAAGTGGACAAGAACAATAATTGCAATAATTTTTAGACATATGCTCTCTTATTTTGCCGTCCAGATTAGGGACATCAACGCTATGTGTAGTCAACACCAATTAAAATTCTTATGCTCAGAGCTTACAGTTAGGCTCATCAAATTTGATCGAACTATCTATAGACTTCAAGGCCTCTGATGGCACACGGACTTCTCCACTAGTATCCTCTTTCAGACATGACACGATATTTGGAGGCTCATACTTGGCATCTGAGCACAGTAATTGATAATCCCCCAATGGTCAAAGAACCAAACAATTTGAGACAAATCTTCATGATCAACCCCAACCTGCAATCCCTGACAATCTGAGGCAGTAATCCTCTTCTTCGGCTCCTCCATATATAGTGCAACAATATAGTTCTTGCATTCCATCTGCCTCTAATCAACAACTACATTAGCAGAGATAGCAGCTGGATTTCTGTTTGTTCCACTTCTTGCTGCTACAACGACTTCATTTTCCAACTCCTGTACTTGAATAACAAGCATAAATGCAGAATAAAAATTCTCCTCAAATTAGCAGACATGTAAACATTGATCTACATAGTTGTTGTCATGCGTATAACTGATAAGTGAATTTATGTGTGATACAATACACTTACCTTAATTGATGAGAAAATTTTCTCTAAATCTCTGGAAAAGGCATTAGCAACAACATCGTTGTTTGTAGCACCCATTTGAATTAAGGAAGATGCCATTGACTCATAATCTTCAATGGCAATCTATCCTAAGAAGACTTCCATAGCAGCCCATGTTTTGGGAGATATCCGACCAACAATTCTTGTAGATTGAATTTATTTATAGAATATAATATATATATATATATATGTGTGTGTGTGTGTGTGTGTGTGTGTGTGTGTGTGTACAACACAAACATCAGAGTATTGTAAAATGTGTGGTGATTTAGAAGAGAAATTACGTAGTTTGTAAAATAACAAAGGAAACACCAACCAACAGCAGGATTAGAAAATTCACAGCTTGAGTTATAGCTTCTCGCAACCTTTTCATACCATGTTTCAGGCGCTCTAAAATTGCACATGCGCAAAAAATTTGCAGCAGCAGACAACACAATAACTAATAGATGAAAAACAACAACATGCTTGATAACATATATATCAGAAGATATCGCATAATCTGTTCAGAAACCTCGATTTATTGTTGTCACTTATAATTATCAATAATTTCCACCTTAAAATCGATAATAGAGAGCATTCCGTCACCATTTCCAAATTTGGTAACGATATTTACACAACCAATCACAAATTTATCAATTATATATGACAGACAAAACCAATAAATTCAGCACATATTGCAAAGTAAATTTAATTTTCTAGAATTCGTAGTCTTTGCACTCTCACCTTATTTCAAATGTTTTGGTCTGAAGCAGTGATAGGATCCCACAAATTTTGTCGTCTTTCTTCAAAATTGTAGTCCAATAGAAAGATGTTGAATATTCCATTTTTCGAATCGGTTTTTTATTATTTCCCTGTAAGAATATATCATATCTATCAAATTCATTTGCAATAAGACTTACAATGTGAATACGAATTTTTGGTGATAAATTGATAATGGAGTAGAAGAACTGCATCAATCCTTTTGCGGACAACAAATGGAATGAACACCAACAAAATTATCCCCTTTTCATTATCCCTTTTTCAAACTCATCAAACTCAATTTCTAATATAAAAACCCTAACCACAAATTATTCCATTTTCATTATCAACACCAACAAAATGAAAACCTTTTCCAATTATTCTATTTCTCACATAATCATACCTTTTTATTGCTGACAAAGGAAGTTAGAAGACCATAGATTAATCCTGAAGAACCTGGAAAACAAAGAAGAGTGAACATAAAAACCAAATCAATTTTCTAAAATAGAGAAAAGAAAGAACAAATAATAAAAACAAGAAGAAGAGGAAAAAGACAGATCATCGACGATGGCTTCACGGAGCTTCAAATCCTAAGCACACAGTTATAATACTAAAGCTAATAATAAAACAAGTAATTTTATATAAGCTTCAATGTTATTCTCATTACTTTATGAAATAATTTTATATAAAATTAAAATATTCTTCAAATATGTTTTTTTACTTTTTCATTTTATTGATTTATTATATTTATCGTTTGATTCTATTTTTCTACTTCTCTCATCTTATTCTCATTATTTTTAAGAATGACAACTAAAATTTATTGGTTAAGTCCTTCTTAAAGATGATCAATAGAGTAAAAGGTATATAAATAAATTAAATTTAAATTTCTTATAATGATATTTAACTATTTTTTTATTTATACTTTTTTAATTTGTTTAATCTTTTTAACTTTAGTATGAAAAATCTCTCCTATTCTCATTATTTTTAAGAATGACAATGGAATTTGTAGGTTAAGTCTTTTTTAAAGATGATCAATAGAGGAAAAGATATGCAAAGAAATTAAATTTAAATTTTTTACAATGGTATTTAACTATTTTCTTAATTATACTTTTTTAATTTTTTTAATCTTTTTAACTTTAGTATGAAAAAATGGTGAAGGAAACGACCCATTGCATAATTTTTTTAAGAAAATGCTCTACCTAGTTAATTGAAAATATTTTGATAGATATCAAATTTTCTGCCAACAACCCATAAATTTAATTTTATTTTATTTTTTTAACATTAATCTAATATTAAATATCGGTGCATCACATTATTATGTTATTAAAGAACTTTTGAAGGTAGATGAAGGTTAATTTAGTAATTTCATTTAATATTTATTTATAAAGACTAGAGAAACCTACGATAGAGATAATGCTCATCAGAGCAACAAAGGAGAGAGATGGAAAATTAAAACAGGTTGGAGAGCACCAATATCTCAACTGAAATAGGCAACATATTAAGATCGAAAACTGAGCCCAGCACCAATGGGAGTGAGAGGAAGAATCTCAACAATTCCTATAATAACAATCAAGACAAGACGCAATCCAACACAAACAAGGCAAACGACAACAAAGTAATTATTGATCTGAGCAACCAATCTGAAAATCAGATAAATCATGAGTTGAAGAAGCAAAGAGACAAAATGATGTTCGACGATTACCAGAGCCAAAAAAATTGCTACACTGATGCGAGCTTGAAGACTGAAGGGATCTGGGGCCTAGGAGAAATATTCAGTGAGGACATCAGAAACATCATCAAAATGATGTCGAGGCAAATACAAAGATCAGACAATCCGCTTGAGGCAGAGGCGATATCGCTTCAATCGGCTATGTATGTTGCAAATGAGAAAGGTTATGGGAATATCATTTTTCACTCTGATTGTTTGAACATGTTAAGGATGATAGAAGACACCAATTCCAATATGCAATGTAATGTTGTGGGTGGTCTCGTGAGGCGGATGAAAAGGGAAAGCAAGAATTTCCAGAGAATCACTTTCCTGTATGTCAAGAGGGAGGAGAACAAAAACACCCATTGCTTTGCTAGACAAGCTGATCTCACCTATGGGCACAATGTTTCAGAGCATAAGAATAGTGAGCCCAATATCATTATGGGCCTTGAGAAACGTTTGTAATTCTCTTCCTGTGTAGTTTGTTTTTTAACCTGTTATAAAAAAATTCAATGAGGTAGGGATGGCAACGAGTCGGGTCGGGTGCGAGTTTCACACTACCCAAACCCGCACCCGAAATCACCACCCGAACCCGAACCCAAACCAAAGGCTATTCGAGTGGAAAAATAACACCCACGCACGCCCACACCCGTTGGATTCAGACTTTTCCACTCAAACTCGAACCCGCAACAAAAACACAAGAAATACAACAACAACAACATTGAAATTTGAAACACAAGAATTCTATCAAGGTCTCTCAAAGAAATTAAAAAAATTAAATTACAAATTTTCAACAAGTTTTCTAACATTACAATTAAAATTAAGGTCTTAAATTTTTACACTTATATATATTTAGAGGTACTTATGTAATTTAATATCTAAGCGGGTGTGATTTCGGGTCTCAGATGTAGATTTGAGTGAATCCAAACCCACATCCAAAATATCAGGTGGCACCCAAACTTGAACCTGAATCCAATCAACTCGGGTTTTCACCCGTTGACTCGGATTCAGGTACGGATGGATCCCACAGAATTAGGTCTGCCTGCCATCCCTATAATGAGGGTTAACTTACTAATTTCATTTATTATTTATTTGTATTTGTTTCTACTGAATTTCCATTCAAAAACTCCATTCCTCTCAATCATTTATTAATAATTACATAATAAACAAAAATATATAATAATAAATTAATGCTAAATTAATTTATCTCATCTGTGTAATTTTCTTTATGCGGGTCCATTCTTCATTATTTCTTTTCTTTTTATTATTTGATTCTATTTTTTCTAATATTAATCTAATATTATATACCCGTGCATCACATTATTAAGTTATTAGAAAAATTTTGAAAGCAAATGAGGGTTAATATTTATTTATAGGTATATTTTTTCTACTAAATTTCCTTTCAAAAACTCCATCCCTCTCAATTATTTATTATTAACTAAATAACTAACAAAAAAATATAATAATAATTTAATGTTAAACTACTTTAAATCACCTTTTATTTATATCATCTATACGATTTTTTTTTCAGGTCCATTCTTCATTATTTCTTTTCTTTTTATTATTATTGTAATTTATCTTTATTTTTTAATTTCTATTTTCTTCAATTTTAAATTTTATTGTTAGGTAGAGTATATATTTAGAGCATCAAAAGTTGACTTTGCAATGAATGAAGAACAATGAATATATATCACACAATCACAAGTAGCATGAATGAAAACTTTGACCGACTTTTCTTCTTATATAGATATGGTAGAACCAATAAAACTTTTTTTACGAGAAAAATTTCTACATTAATTACATCAACTGAATATATTGTTTTAGTTAAAGTTTTGACTGAAATATTACCATTATTTATCTCAGATATTATAATAACTTAACAATGTGATGCATAAATAATAATCTTAATGATCACTACAAGAAAAAAGCCCTTTAGTTAGGGGTTTAACTCCTCACTAAGGCAAAAAACACTTCACAAAATCAACATTTGCGAGGGGACATAACCCCTAGTTAAATTACTAGTCGCAGATAAGGAGCGAGGGGCTAAGCACCTAGCCAATTAGCTTGGGGCTAAACCCCTCGCTAAAGGCAAAATATGATTGGTCATTGGCTAGGGGCTTTACCCCTAGCTAAATACCATCCTGCTTTTACAGCAGGCGCTCAGTAAACGCAGGGAGTGTGCAGGGGAAACGTGCATAGTATATGTAATATTAGCTAGGGGGTTTACCCCAAGCTAAAAACCATAATTTATTTTTTAAATTATAAACGTAATTATTTTATTTATTTATTATTATTATTATTATTATTATTATTATTATTATATTTATAATCAATTAATTTCATAATTATAATTTAATAAAATAAAAAATTCAATATTAATAATATTAGTAATATATTTTTAAATATAATATATAATATAATTTATAATTAATATTATATTAATAAAATACTGAGTCAAAATTAAAATATTACAAGAACATTGTTTATAATTATAAATAAAAAGTGTTATCGATAAAAATTAATTTTCTTCATTGGTGTTACTGTCTTTATTGTCATTTGCCCTTGATTATCACGCCCGCCAAATTGTTGCATAAACTGTTGAAAAGTACGCATAAATTCCTCATATTCTCTAGTTTTTCTTCTCATTTCTTCCTCCATTTTTCTTTGTCTCTTCTTCAATTCTTCTATTTCAGCATTTCTCGCTTCCACTTCACGGGCAGCCTCAGAGTGCGCTAATGATCTCACAGTTTCCATCATGTCTGGGGTAAGTGAAGGTTGAGTCGATGATCCTTCACCATCAGCAATTTGCATTTTGAAACTCCTATCACGCCGCCAGATTGTTTTGGCGAAACCTCCAGCACCATACACTCTCCCATTTTTTCTCTTCCCACGAGATACATCATACCAAGTCTGAAAACTCAGACTAGGATCAGTGGGAAATCCCGACGGAGGTGGTGT